TGCAGCATTGTCTTAGTTACTGTACTATTTCTGTGAAAAGAAACCATGACCAAGGCAACTCTTAAAAAAAAAAAAAAGAAAGCATCTTTAAATTTTATTTTTTATTTATGGTTTTTCAAGACAGGGTTTCTCTTTTAGCCTTGGCTGTCCTGGAACTAAGTAGACCAGGCTGGCCTTGAACTCAGAGATCTACCTGCCTCTGCCTCTGCCTCTGAGTGCTGGTATTAAAAGTGTGTGCCACCACACCCAGCTAAAAGAAAGAATTTAATTGGGGCTTGCTTTCTGTTTTAGAAGGTTAGTCCGTGGTCATCATGGCAGGAAGCAGACAGGCATGGAATTGTAGCTGAGAACTGTACAGCCTGATCCACTGGTAATAGGCAGAGAGAGAGAGACACTGGGGCTGTTGAGGGTTTTTGAAACCTCAAAGCCCGCCCCCAGTGACACACTTCCTCCAACAAGGCCACACCTCCTAATCCTTCCCAAATAGTTCCATTAACTGGAGATCAAGCATTCAAACACTGAGCCTATAGGGGCCATTTTCATTCAAACCACCACAGACATGAATGGCCTCTAGTGCTATGTGAGTCATGTTCCTGCTGAAACCTGAACACTCTTTACTGTTCACAATTCTATCAGCGTGCTGGACTTCTGAGCTCCCAACAGAATTACCCACTAAACTTTGCTTACAGCATCCTGGGGCTTCTCTAGCACCACATCTCCAAACTTTTCCAGATTCCCTCCACAAGTCAGTTCCAGAGGTTTCTGAACCACACGGTCAGACAGCTGGCAACACCACCACCTCTCAGGTACCAAAATTCTGTCTTGGTCAAAGTTTTCGTCGCCGTGATAAGTACTCCAGAGAAACAGCTTACAAGAGGAAAGACGGGCTCATAGCTTCCGAGGTTCCCTCCCCTGGTTGGCTGGTTCCTTATTCGGAGCCCCATGGCAGTTGAATTGTGAAGCAGCAGCTCATCGCATGGTGGCCAGGAAGAGACAGGAAGAAGCGCCCAGGGGTGAGGTAGAACATTCAAAGGCATGTGCCCAGTGACCTATTGTGATGGCTTGAATAAGATGTCCCCCATAAAGCCCAGGCCTTTGAATACTGGTTTCCAGGTGGTGGCTGTTTGGAAAGAACTAGGAGCATGTAGCCTTGTTAGAGGACTGGGGCAGACTTAAAGAGGTTTCAGACGCCTCCCACCATCCCCACTGTGCTCTCTGCCTCCTGCTTTCGGATCAAGATGGATCAAGATGTAAGCTCTCAGCTGTTCCTGCCTCCTTGCTTTTGGTCTGCCATCATGGACACTAGTCCTCTGAAGCAGTAGCCCACTTAAATTCTTTCTTTTGAAAGTTGCCTTGACCATGATGCAAGAGAAAAGTAACTATGACACCTATGTCATACAGGAAGGCTTCATGTCCTGAGGTTTCCGTTATCTCCCCAAATAGCGCCACAACTAAGCACCAGGCCTTTGGCACCTGGGCCTGCAAAGGACATTTCATGTTGAAACCATAATGTTCCTCAGCCATAATAGAATGAAGTTGGAAACCCACTGTTACTTTGTTGACACTTTATTCTATTAATTATTTGATAATTTTATGCAGTGTATTTTGATTATATTCACCCTTCAATCCTCTCCTCAATTCCTCCCAGGTCCACCCCCACATCCCATCTTGCACTTCGACTTTGTGCTCGTGCTCTCTCTCTCTCTCTCTCTCTCTCTCTCTCTCTCTCTCTCTCTCTCTCTCTCTCCTCTCCTCTCCTCTCCTCTCCTCTCCTCTCCTCTCCTCTCCTCTCCTCTCCTCTCTTCTCCTCTCCTCTCCTCTCCTCTTCTCTTCTCTTCTCATAACCCATCCAGTCCATTTGTGCTGCCCATATACTCCTGGATATGGGACCACTCACTGGAGTGTAGTCAGCCTACCAGGACCAAACCCTTAAAGAAAACCGACTCTCCATCACTGAGAAGCCATTAACTGGCCATAACTCTTCAGTGAGGGGTGGAGACTCCCTTTCCCCCTCCATACTTGAACGATGATGGCTTCATCTTGGACAGGCACCCACAGTTGCTGTGAGTTTAAGTGCAATATTGCTGTTAATTTCATTCTGGCTCTGTCCAACCTCTGGCTCGCTCTCTCTCTCTCTCTTTCTCTCTCTCTCTCTCTCTCTCTCTCTCTCTCTCTCTCTCTCTCTCTCTCTCTCTCTTTTGGCTTTTCAAGACAGGGTTTCTCTGTATAGCTTTGGAGCCTATCCTGGAACTTGATCTGTAGACCAGGATGGCCTCGAACTCACAGAGATCCGCCTGGCTCTGCCTCCTGAGTGCTGGGATTAAAGGCGTGCGCCACCAGCGCCCGGCCAACCTCCGGCTCTTACAATCTTTCTGCAACTTCTTCTACAATGGTCCCTAAGCCTTGACTGGGGTATGAGACAGATGTCCCATACACTGGCCAAATGTAAGAAACTCAATACATAGATGTAAAAACACTTCTTAAGAAAAATAGAAAAAAGGAGGAGGAGGAGGAGGAGAGGAGGAGGTGTTCTGGCTGGATATAGGGCACCTACCTCTATAACCCCAGATAGACAGCTCAAGCTCAGGATTTTGGAGCAAGTCTGAACAAGACAGACCCTGTGTCTTAAAAAACAAGCATTTTTAAAGAATATTTCCAAATAAACCAGAGCATAAGAGGAAAAGTTAAGAAAATATCTTGAGATGGATGCAAACGAAGACACAGAATGCCAAAACGTATGGAACACACCTCAGTTATGCTTAGGAGGAGATCTAGAGTTTAATATGAACACGTTCAAAGACGCCTGCCTTAAGACCACGACTAAAGGGAAGCAGAGCACAAATTAGCGTGTAAATCAAGGAACCAGAAAGCTGGGCTCTGTGGATTAGTGCTTGGCGGCTGAGGGAGCTGGCTCGCGAATTTCAGACCAGCATGGACTACATAGATCCTGAGAGGGGGGTGTGGGTAGAATGGTGGGTGAAGAAAGGACAAATGAAAGAAGAGGAGAAGGAGAGGGAGGGTTAAGGGAGGAGGTAAAGAAAAAGGAAGAAAAACAAAGACTAGAAAAATGCAAAGAAAAAATCAAAGAAACTAGATGTTGGTTCACTGATGCACTTTTCATTTTGTAACATGGTCTCATGTAGCCCAGGATAGCTTCCGACTTACTGAGTCCCTAAGGATGACCTTAAGCTCCTCATTTCCTATCTGAATTCTGGGATTGCAGATATGTGTCACCGTGCCTGGGGGGGGTGGTGACAATCAAGCTCATGGCTTCAGAGGGTCCAACCCTTAGGCCCTGATGTCGTCTATGAGGTAGAGGATCATGGGGACAGGCATGTGTGGAAGAGAAGGGAGAAAACTGAAAATGCTTTGCTGTATTGACCGAGAAAGTAAGAGAGAAGACTCAAATGGCCACAATCAGAAGTGAATGAGAGGTGGGGGCATGGTAGTTCATACCTATGATCCTAACATGTGGCTGAAACAGGAAGATTAGCCCAGGAGTTGGGAACCAGCCTGAACAATATGTGAGACTCCATCTCAAAAGAAAAGAAAAAACAGAGAGAGAGAGAGAGAGAGAGAGAGAGAGAGAGAGAGAAGTGGCTGATTCTGAAGTGTTCTCTACAGGCCCATATACTGAACTCTTGGCTCCCTGGTAGCACTATTTTAGGAGGTCCTAGAAGCTTCAGGAAATAGGGCCTAGCTGAAGGATGTAAGTCACTAAGGGACCTTAGGGCTGTTGTTTTTAATCTCAGGCCTCTCTCCTTCCTAAGGTAAACAGGCTTCTCTTCCACACTTGCCTGTTCCCATGATGCTCTGCCCTACAGAAGACTAGGAACATGGAGTCGAGGCCCATGGGTTGAACCTTCTCAGGCCATGAGCTAAAGCAAACCCTCTCTCCTAAGCTGTTTCTGTCAGGTATTTGGGGACAGTGATGACTAGGTAACTAAGGTAGAATGGCAGATTACTACCATCCTTAAGGAAATAAACTATGAAGGAATACCATGAACAACTATATCACAACAGAAGAGAAAACTTACATAAAATGAGCAGATTTTTAGAAGACATTATCAAAACTGACTGGGGAAGAAATATGAGTCTAGGTAATCTGCAGCAAGTAAAGAGACTGAAGTAGGAATCTGATCATGTCCCGCCCAGCCAAATGACTGCAGACTGGTAAGAGTGAGTGATGCCAATGCTTCAGACTCTTCAGGCTCTTCTCACTTATTCTGCTGAGGCCAATGTTAAATTGATGCCCAAACCAGAAGACTCCAGAAATAAGAAAACCGTAGCCCACACCTCCATGCATGTGGTTACTAAAATCCTAGCAAACCAGTTCTCGACCACAGAACTCTTCTACGCTGAGACCAAGGTCAGTGAAATTTGCCACAGGAATTCAAGGTAGGCTCAATATCTACATATCAGACATTACCTCCACCAACCTGGATCTGACACATGCTATCAACACAATTAGAACAAAGACGTCTTGCTCCTTTCAAAAAATACAGACCAGGCTTTTGGCAAGATGGCCAAACTCATCTGAAGACAGCGAGGAGGACCAGAGGGTGGGTCCCCAGTGTGATGCAGGGATCTAGGAAAACCCACTAACACCTCACTTACTGGGAGAAAATGGGTGTTTCCTTCCTAAATCAGCAGCAGCCACAGCAGGTGTATACCACACCACTTCTACCCAGCATTACACAGGGAGCCCAGTCAGAGAGCTGGGCAAGCAACGAGAGCCTGGAGCTCCCAGTCTGGAAAGGGAAGGATCCATCTACAACTCAGGGTCTCACACAAGTCAGATCCTAAAGAGTCAACTATGACAACAAAAACCAGTAAACCACAAATGAGTTCATCCAAATTGCAGTCTACACGGCTAATAGAAAAATCTAGCAGAAATGTGTGGCACACCTTCACTGGGAGGGGGTAGCAGCAGGAGAGAGAGGCCAGCTGGGCTACTTATTATAACTCCATTTCAAAACAATAACAAGTCCCCAGTTCAGTCGGATCCCGGCAGCAGCTGCGGCGGCTCAGTTCTTCTGGAGCTCTCCCTGTCTCCCTTTCGCTTCCGGAAACATGGCCTCTGGTGTGGCTGTCTCCGATGGTGTCATCAAGGTGTTCAATGACATGAAAGTGCGCAAGTCTTCAATGCCAGAAGAAGTGAAGAAACGTAAGAAGGCAGTGCTCTTCTGCCTGAGTGAGGACAAGAAGAACATCATCCTGGAGGAGGGCAAGGAGATCCTGGTAGGAGATGTGGGGCAGACTGTGGATGACCCCTATACCACCTTTGTCAAGATGCTGCCAGACAAGGACTGCCGCTATGCTCTCTATGATGCAATCTATGAGACCAAGGAGAACAAGAAGGAGGACCTGGTGTTCATCTTCTGGTCCCCAGAGAGTGCACCCCTTAAGAGCAAAATGATCTATGCCAGCTCCAAGGATGCCATCAAGAAGAAGCTGACAGGAATCAAGCATGAATTGCAAGCCAACTGCTACGAGGAGGTCAAGGACCGCTGCACCCTGGCAGAAAAACTAGGTGGCAGCGCTGTGATCTCTCAGGAGGGCAAGCCTTTGTGAGCCGCCTCCAGTCCCCTGCCTGGAGCATCTAGCAGCCCCAGACCTGCTCATGGGTGTTGCAGGCTGCCCCTTTCCTGCCAGACCGGAGGGGCTGGGGGGATCCCAGCAGGGGGAGGGTAATCCCTTCACCCCAGTTGCCAAATGTCCCCCCCACCCCCTGGACCGTCCCCCCTCCCTCCACCCTGACGGTTCTGGCCTTCCCAAACTGCTTTTATCTTCTGATTCCTCTTGGGTTGAAGCAGACCAAGTCCCTTCCCAGGCACCCAGTTTGGGGGGAGCTTTTTTAACGACACCCCTACTCTTCATTGCCTCCATCCCATGCTGCCAACTTCTAACCACAATAGTGACTGTGCTTGTCTGTTTAGTTCTGTGTGTAAATGAGATGTGGAAATGACCCTCCCTGCCCAGCTGGTTGCCTCCCCTTCCCCTTGTTCTCGGCCACTCATGGAAGCAGGACCAATAAGGGACCTTCAGTTAAAACAAAACAAAACAAAACTAAACTAAACTAAACTAAAAAGGCTAATTAACAAAAAAAAAAACAAGTCCCCAAAAAACTTAGGAGTAAATTATCAAAAGAAGTGTGTTGTAGAATATTTGTTTAACTAGGCAAAGATGTGTTACATTTGTTTATGCTGTATTTGTTTAACTATGTAAAGATGTGTTGCATTTGTTTGTGTTACAGAATAATTGTTTAACTATGTAAAGATGTGTTGCATTTGTTTATGCTGCATTTGCTTAACTATGTAAATATGTGTTGCATTTGTTTTACCTTGCCTGCATAAGGCACTTGATTGATCTAATTAAAATGGCCAATAGCTAGGCAATAGAGGGATAGGCGGGGCTGGAGGGCAGAGAGAATAAGTAGGAAGAGGAATCTAGGCTCTGGAGAGAACAGAGTGGGGGTGGGGGGAAGAGGCAGATGAGAGCCAGACACAGAGGAAGCAGGGAAGTAAGACATACAGAATAAAAGAAAGGTAAAAAGCCCTGAGGCAAAACAAAGGTTAAATTAAGTTACAAGAGCTCGTGGGACAAGCATAAGATAAGGCTGAGCGTTCATAACGAATAATAAGTCTCTGTGCCTTTATTTGGGAGCTGGTTGGCAGCCCAAAAAGAAAGCCTGCTACAGAAGTGCAAACCTTAGAGTGTGGAAACAAAACAGGACACTCAAAAGAAACTGAAGATCGGAGAAATGGACGGAGGGTCGTATGCATTTGCCGGGGGAGTTTGTCAGAACGGTGTTACTGTGCACTTGGACCTACACAGGGAAATGTGCTCACCCAAGGACTTCTTGATGCCCTGAATTCACTGTTTACTATCTCAGTTCCTATGGGGCAGGAATCCCCACAGCTTAGCTGCTTCCTGCAGCTCAAGGTCTCACGTGGATTACAGGCATCTCAAGATCTGACCAGAGCAAAACGATCCTCTGGCTGCTGTGTGATTGACTGGCAGCAGGCTTTGTTTCCTCTTTGGCTGTTGAAATGAGGCCCTCAGGTCCTTCCTGTGCCAGCCAGATTTCTCCCCAGATCCGTTCACAGCCTAGGAGCTCGCCTGGCCCAGCAGGAGTCACTCAAGAGAAGGAGCCATGGACTTAGTGGTTGCTATTTTGTTTTGTTTTGAGACAGGGTCTCACTCAGTATGCAGCCTTGGCTGTCTTGGAACTCACTCTGTAGACCAGGCTAGCCTCGAACTCACAGAGATGCCCTGCTTCTGCCTCCAGAGTGCTGGGATTAAAGGCGTGCGCCACCACTACTCAGGCGAATATTTCTACAAGCTTTGTTTTGTTTTGTCTTTGCCGCAGAGCCTCTGTGACCCAGTTTCAGACAGTCATCTCATCGCCTGGACTTCACTATTGACTCTAAGCAAGTCAGGCATCCCTCCCCACTCAAGGGGAAGGGATTGCGGTCCACTTGAATTCTGGGAGAGAGGGATCATAGGCCACCCTGGAGGCTGCCCTTGATGACATACCTGTTACTCCCCTCCTCACAGCCAGGGGGACAAGATGTACAGATGCAGGCATATGACTTCATTTGCTCTGTCAGCATCTTCCTATTGAGCTGTAGGCTCCACACACACACACACACACACACACACACACACACACACACACACACACACACAGGTAACACGCCACTCAACCAAATGGTAGTTGAATATATATATATATATTGTAGCTGGAAGTTTTCCTGTGCCCTACAGTTGGGACGAATCTCTCCCACCCACGTCCCACAGCCTCTTGGTCTCAAATAAACACACAGAGGCTTATATTATTTTTAAACAATATGGCCTAATGGCTCAGGCTTCTCACTAGCTAGATCTTACATCTTAAATCAACCCGTTTCTATAAATCTATACTTTGCCACATGGCTTGTGGCTTACCAGTACTTTTACATCTTGCTTCTCCTGGCGGCAGCTAGCAGAGTGTCCCTCCTCTCCTTTCTCCTCCCACTCTCTCTTGGATTTTCCTGCCTGGCTCTTGGGACGTGGGACTGTGGGGCCTGGGCAAGACCAGAGATACCTTCCAACTACAATATATAAATTTTGTTATATTTTTATTGGTTGCACACGCCATGGCACACATGTGGAGATCAGAGGACAACTTCTAGAAGCCGGTTCTTTCCTTCCACTTTAGTGGTCTTAGGAATTGAACTTGAGTTTCCCAGTCTTGACAGCAAGCACCTTTATCCACGGAGCCATCTCATTGGCCCTGTAATTATTTTTTAATTAAATTATATATTGTACAGTGACAGGGAGCCCACCCAGGGCCTCACACATAATGGACAGCACTCTACCACTGAGCTACACCCCATCCCTATAAACGTTAGTTTCTGAACACACAGTGAAAACTCCTGGTGGGATAGGTAAGGAAGTGCAGAGCACTTTGTGATTTGATGTTTGTTTTTGTTTGTTTGTTTGTTTTGAGATCTAATGTCTGTGAGACTATGAACCCACTCCCACAACACCACATTAATCCTTTCATGGGGATGGATCCCTCACCAGCCTCTTACACTATGACACTGAGGACCAAACCCCTCATGAGCACCCCCCTCCCCGGGAGGTGGGGGCGGGGAGTCACGTTCAAACTGCACCACAGGTGCAGCATTCTGTTAAACACTTGCCGAGAATCACCACATTTCATGGGGTATTTAAGGTGACTCTTTTCTGAGTTCTCTGACTCTTAGCACTGTGGACAATTATTTCATGGATAAATTCTTAACCGGGGAAGGGTGGTGTGAAGGGCTTGCCCCTCTAAGGCTCTGATCACCTGGCCAGGGCCACTCCAGAGAAGGAACTGGACACCCTGGCTCCTTCCTGCTGCCCAGCTGGTGCCTGGCAAGTCCCATCCACTGTGCTTGGCTCTGCCCTGTTTTCCACCCTTGCCCGTCTGGTAGGTGACGGTTTTTATCTTTGTCTTTGTATTGTTTTGCCGTGTGTTTCTTTGATTATTTATGCAAATGAACATTTGTCACCTGCTTGTGGTTTTTTGGGTTTTTTTTTGTGGAGGATATTGTCAGCTTCTGGCTCTATCCTCTCTCCTATTGGCAGGTTGATTTTAATCTTATTGATCTGTAAGGGTTCCCTATAGACTATGAAAAACAAGCTAGTGTGTATGTTACAGATGCCTCCTCCACTCTGCCCTCTGTCTGTTATTCGTGACTTTATAAACCATTGGTTTCCATAGGAATTTCAACTATAAAAATAACATTTGCTTGTGGTGAGGGATTCACACAGCACAGAGAGATAGGAGAACACAAAGGCCTTTCTTCTCCCTACCTTCATGTTCTTTCCTCAAGTTAGGCAAGATGATACATACCTAGACCCCTAGGCTGAAGCAGGAGGATGCAGAGTTTGGGACCCGTCCAGGCAAGCCACTGACATTAGTGAGCACATTGGAGATCACAGGACAGGGAGGCTGGATCGAGCAACCTGACGCCCATGTTTCTTTCCCATCTACCCCTCTAGGCTGAACTAAGAGTTGAAGGAACAAGAGCTGTTCACCTGCCGTAGCAGACTCTGGAATTGTGAGCCAATACGAACCTCTCCAGTTACCAGTCTCAGGTCGTCTATCATAGCAACAGAAAATGGACCGTGGTAATGTGCACCTATGGATATGGAAAAAAAAATCCACCGAACACTACAAAGGGAAAATCTGTAAATAATGTCCACATTCTGACCAGACTTGTCAGCATAGAGAAAGGTCTGAGAAACAGAGTAAAATCTATCATCGGTTGTTCCTGGAAGTGAGTGAGATCATGAACATTTTATCCTTTTCACTTATCTGTGTTTTAAAGCTTTGCTACAGTAATGTGTGCTACTTGTAGAAATAAAAAAGTGTGTGTGTGTGTGTGTGTGTGTGTGTGTGTGTGTGTGTGTGTGTGCATGTTTTCTTTTAATGTTCTATTGTGAGGGTTGCCTTTCGCAAGTTTTGTTTTTACACTTGTCACAAGATTTGGCTTTCTGCGCTACAGGCTGGAATACATGGCCGTTTCCTGCTGGAAGGAAGGGTTGTTTTTTTCCAGGTTGCCTGAGAGGCTGAGGGTTGGGAACAAACAGGAGCTGCCCACTTCTCACCGGGCAGCCCCCTAGGTCTGAGTCACACACAGCGCTGGACTCCCAGCCTCACATGCCAGCTCTGCACCCATGCAGCCCCACCCCCCACCCCCATGCAAGCTGAACAGAGCCTCTGGGCCTATGCACGTGATAAGCTGTTTCTAAGATGGAGCTTCCAGGAGCCAGTCCTCAGGCCTGCAAGAGCCTAAGGCCACAGTGCACCAACATTTTGTCTTCTGAGCAGTCAGCCTGTCTGACAGTGGCATGAGTTAAGATGGCCCCATTTGTGCTCATCAGATGATAGATCATCTCTTTGGGTTTCTCTCACTTACCACTAAACGAGATCTAACTGATAAATGAGCTTGGAGCCCGGACCCCTGTGAGGCCCACAGGTCTCCAGTAACCATAGTCCTGCTCTGCTGTGAAGAGTGGAAGCCACGGGTCGGCCATCTCCAGACTGCCTCCTACTGGCCAGGTGCTGTAGTCCCCACCCAGGCCACCCAGCAAGCCAGCTCTGCTGATCTTGTCCTCTCTCTGCAAAGTCCCTGCAGACTTTTTAAAGTCCCCCGTGCAAGTCTGTCACGGAGAGGAGAGCAAACTGTGGGAGTTAATGTTCCCTGAAAGTGCTTAGCTTCCTCTTCCAAACACCGTGTTTCTCCTTATGGCATAACCTGCGTGTAACTTCTGCCCTCTCTACCAATATGCTGCAAC